CCCCTGACATTCTGTGATTCTGTGAATCTAGGCTTTGTGCATCTCATTGTTAAGTCTAATTCCGTAACTTGGATTCTATAACTACTTGTACAGAGGGGAAGGAAACCACCAAACCCATGGTCTTTAACAGCTACACGCTTTATTTTATTAAGACACAATAATTTTTGTACCTACTATATGACATAAACACTACAGGAGCTTAGTATTACACTTCTGTGTCTGAACTATTGAAGTTTGTTTTCCTGCTTTGCAAAACATTAGCAAATCCATCAAATGCTCTTTTCTTCTTAACAAAAAATTGTCCCTGTCCTAAATTGGTCTGACTTTTTTGACTGAGTTTTTCACTCAAATTTTGGAGGTTGCTGGCCGTTGTAGAATTTATCTCCAGTCCTGTCAAAGTACTGTCATCCTCTGTCTGCCTGGAATCAGTGCTTTCAGAGATATTTCCTGTAGTCTTTTGTGGGAATGAACAGGAACTGTATTGTGTGTTTTCACTGAAGAAGCCTTGTGGGACTGAGAAGGAATATGTATCCTCATCACTCTGATCCAGGTGCAAATGATGTTCTGTGTTGAAGACTGGTTGTGTTTTTGCAGAAGAGTGAAGATGCAGCAGATCTGCTGTAAGATTGCAAGACTGCATTTCTTTGGGTAGGCTACAGTTGCTGGGATCCTGTAATTCTGTGTGTGTGTCATAGTTTTTCTCATTAAAACCTCTTTGCATTATATCTGCATAAGTCTTAGTTGTGTTCACCTGCTTCCCCTGTGGTAGCAAGTCATCTTTCTCTGTACTAACTGTAAAAGGTTTTTCACTTGTGTGTTCAGGCAGAGACAGAAGTGATGACTTGCTACTGGAATGCAGTAGTGATGATTTTTGAACAATTTCATTCAAATCAGTATCAATGGGAGCAAAAATAAAATCACTATCCTCAGATGTACTTGTGTCTGTTCCTAATATAATGTCCCCCTCACCATGATTCTTTTCAGAGGAGTTCCTATCTGTGTACTCGTCCGTTCTTCCCTCTAGTACATTTTCTAGTACATGTTCAGTGGGACAGAAGCTGAGGGAATGCTGAGGTTCAGTGGGAAACCGATACTGCTGCGATTCAGCCTCTTCAGGAGTGTCCTCTCTATCTGTGTCATATGTGGGAGAATGTTTTAATGAAAGTAAAATGCTAACAAAATCTGTACTTTGGTTGTGGAGAGAATCAGAAATAGAGGTTTGTACTGTTGACTCTGCATTAGTAAAATAGTGAAATGTATCAGGAACTTCTTGATTTGAAGAACTAACGGGGTCTGAATTGGACATGCTTACCTGGTCACTACATTTATCAGTGTAATGTGATGTTGTTGCAGGTGTGATGGTATCTAATCCATAATCAGTCCTGGTTTCAGAATACACATTGTTCTTGTCTCCATTTTTCCCAATATGCCGAAGTTCAAGAGCAATGTTTGGAGACTCTAGCAATGCTGAGGACTTCTCAGTTCCGCTGTTCCTCTTGGCTTCTTCCACCTGGTAGACTGGCAGGTTGTCACTAACATCAGGTTGTTCCGGTTCAGAGTCTGCTAAAGAACTACAGTCACTCATTGTAAATGGAGTCCCTTCATCTGAAGAACTATTGTCTGAAGCATCTTTCTCATTTGTACATTCTGTTTTATAGTTGTACTCTGTAAGAGGAGAGCTTTTTATTGTTTGGCAGACACTTAAAATCTCAGTATTTGTATTTCTCCTGCACCTACTGGGTAAAATAAAATCTCCCACATCACTGTGTATGTTGCTGTTCAGACCAAGTTGTTCATCATGGCTTTGTCTTCCAGACATAAATTTTGTAGTGTTTACGGGTTCATTATGTGAAGTAATACCTTTTCTTTCAGGAGTGTCTCCATGTGTGTGTATTGTGGAAAATGGAAAGCGAGTTTCTCCCATGAAGGATAAACCCAACTCTGAGGAGTCAGTGTGATTTGAGTTAGAGTCAGCATTCAGTCTTCTGGGTAGGGGAGGGAACCTGCTCTTTGAGTCTTCATTATTTGTGTATTTTGAATCTTTCTGTAACAATATGTCATTACTCGTTAATATTCTTGGCATTACTTCATTGCTGTTCTGGTAAAAGAGTCCATTATTGTCAACATTTGTATTTTCATCATTGCTGATAGTTTTGATGTCTGAAAACAGTGGGGTTTTCTTGACATCGGTCTCATTCTTGCTTTGTTTCTGGTACTGCTCTTCCGTATTTGGTGCGTGTACACTGCTACCAATGACATTTTCTTGCAAAACAGAAGTTTCTGGGGGAAAAAGGCACGCGTTGCTTGAGGAATTCTCATCACAAATGAACAAATTACGCTGCCTATTTGTTGGTTTGCTTGCAGAGCACTCGCCGCTCAAGGTTTCATCTGAAAAAGCTTGATTAGAATACGTATGTTCTGAACCTGAATTTTTGTTTCTGTGCATGAGTCTCCACAGGCTCACAAGGTAGGGTCTAGCAAAAACACCCAGACAAAAGGCGCAGACAAATGTAATGAGCACCGAGAGGCAGACAGCCAGTGCAAGGTCTTGCTCTGTTCTTCCTTGTTTAAAAACAGGGTTTGTGTCCCGGGCTTTTCTAACCAAAAATGTTGAAACTCTTTCTTTCACCTGTATATTGTAAATGAGATAGTTCTTCTTTTTTGTATTAGAAATACACAAATATAACCCTTCAGCAGTTTTCTCAGCATTGTGTATCACTAAATTACTCATTTTATCCATTGTAATATGAGGAAGACCATTATCTTGTGAAATTCTGCCTTTGGGTGTCCACCAAGAGACTCCATTACCTGAAATAAAAGAAAATACAAACGAAATCAGTCTTGAAAGTATAGGATACTTGGTTTGAAGGGTCATTACTTCTATAACAGCATATTCTGCCCTATCTTTGATATTTTTAACTATTCATTTATAAAATCCATTTTCTTTTGATCTATGCATAGTAATTTTATAAGTTCCAACTATAAGTTAAACCATCAAAATATTCCCCCCTCAATTATTCCAAATTTTACTGAGTGGAGGCCACGGCTGGTTGTTGGATTTTGGAATATGTTTCAAGGCTGTACATACACCTTTGCCTTCGGATCTGCTCGCGCTCTCGGTTGAGTTTTGGTGCGATCCACTGGGTTGATTTTAATCTCATGATCAGTTTCCGTGACTTTCCTTGTTACTAGACGAGGTGGGTGGTGTTTCTGACAGACCCTTGGGGTCCCCCATTTGGGGATAAAGTGATCCCAGAGGAAAGCCTTACCACCTCAAAGTGCTACTAGTCCACTAGAGTTAAACCGTTTTGCCTTATAGCACACAACAAACACACCTTGTACTTTAACTTTGGTCTTAGTTTTCTAACTAAGACTTTGCTCTTAGTTTTCTTTCAGCTCTGTCGATTTTGTCACTTGTACTTCAAATGTTCTGTATTAATTGTAAATGCCGAATTCACGTCTTAAGTGTGCTGCTCTAGCTGTACTTTTTTTTAGAAGAAATAATCCTTTCCCTTGCAGATAATTCATTTTGCTATAACTATTAGAAGTACTGCTGTATCCGACAGAGTTTTATACATGGCCCAGAAGTGCCATCCCACTGTTCGCGCCTTTGTTTGCATTCCAAAATTAGCCAATAAATTTTCAATGTATTACTGAAATTTATTTGTGTATGATTTGGCATAAGTTATTAGTTTAGTGTAAGGAAGGAAATTAAGACTTTTTTTCAGAAACATAACTTTCAAATATTCTAACCTGTGCATTACTTTATAACAAAGTAATTTGCGTGTTAAGTTTCTGTTCAGTTGTTTTTAAACAGTATCTTTAGAAACTCAATTTTTAAACCAGATTCCTTTGATGGGATTTCTTTTTCTGCATGCATTTGGATTCTAGCAGCCTATGGATAAAGTCCCAGCTTTACCTACCCCTTGTGTTGTCCAAGTCACAGTTTAGCACCGATGTCTTCCCTGTTGGGATTACAGCTCTCTTGAGCAAAATGTGTCCGCTGCAGTTTAAATGGAAACTTGAAAGGTACAGCAGAGGTTTCTGTGAGTTTTTGGCAGATCTATTGTATGAAATACTCAATTTTTTCCTTGTAGAGTCAAAAAGAAAGTGAAATAAATGTTTGAAAGCGTTCAGTCTGCACTTAAATATCCAGGCATTATTTGACAAATCCACTTCAAGTTGAAAGAAGTTCAAACTGATTAATATCTGTGGTAGAGGGCTTGTCAGAGCATTTTCACGGAGATCCAAAACCTGTTTAGAAATAATTCAGAATTAATTTTATAAGCATTACAATGGAATCCTAACTGCAATATCAGTAACATTTATTTTAGTATACAAGCACTTTTGCGGTTACAGGAACAATAGATCTGGTTAGGATTTCAAAAATATTGTTCCAAGCTTTTCAATTTAAATGGAAAGTTTAAATTGTGGTTTATTTAAAATTCTCCCATTGTAGGGTACCTGTGTGTGAGTGGGAAGCCGCAGGGCTCTCACCACAGTAGGAGTGACGGTAGGAAAGGACATGTGTGTGTCTAAACCAGTTATGGACTGGTTTCTGGCATCAATAAGTTGTGAATTTATGGTTACATCCTGTATATTTACAAGTGTGTGTGTTTTTCTACTTATGAAAAGCAACTATATATTATATAAAAATAAATACTACTTTCACCATTTACTTCAGTTTTTATAATTGTATGCTAATATAATGATCAAATACCACTGTAATCATAGTGAATAGTTGATAACTAATCTTTAGTGGTGATTGACACAACACATTGAAACAGTTGTGTTGCTTTACAACCTGTAATTTCTTGAGATCCCTGAAGGCGTCTGGATGAATTTTAGTTATCTTGTTGTTTTGCAAGTTGATGTCCTTCAGCTGTGAACAGTTCTGAAAGTCATTCAGATCAATCTGTCGAATGCCATTAGATGACATATGGACAGTCTGTAAAGACTGCAGCCAGCCTAGTCCTAGGAAGAACAAAATTAATTTACATTTCTTGTTCTTGTTTTCCCAGTTGTGTCAAGTGGCGTTTTTTTTTTTTAAGGACGGCGGTGATGTGCAGCAATTTGACTTTCAGTGTCTAAAAACAGAATCTCTTATAGAAAAAGATTGATCTGTCTGACCTCCTGAGGCATCGCACAGTGTGTAGTTATGTTTATCTATCAAATCAAATCTGCATCAATGTGTTTTATAACATAAGCTTTTCTATACTGTCTATATGGAACCTTACAGATACTACAGAGTGATTGAGCAAAACAGCTTCCTGCATGACAGAGAATTATTTAGTATCAAAAAAGGAGAAAATTAGAACTTCAAGGAAATGATCCCGTGTAAGTGCAAAATTATTCCCTTTGTCTGACTTTGTGAGGTAAGTGGGGTTTTAGTTTGCCTCCCAGTATTTTCAAAATCTTGAGTGAATGAACCTGATGATGTTATCAGGGATCAATTAAATTCAGCAAATAGAGCATAGTGTTGCTTGTACTGCATGCAGCTTCTGCTTCATTTAAACACTGTTTGGACCATGTGAATCATCTCTTTATGACAGAGGCTGCCATAAAGGCCACATGCCCAGCATAGTTCAGTGAGAAGCCAACACTTTCTGAAGTCTATCGAAACCTTACCGCCCCCTCTTTTGTGTCACTTCAGTTGAGTGTCAGAAGTCAAGAGTATTGACTTTCTTCTGAAGCGCAGTACGACATTCATTATCCCTAATTTTCTCGATGTTAAAGTTCATGACTGGGTTGTAGAGGCTGCTATTTTTCTGAAGATCCTTCCCTTTTGATAGAATAAGGAAAAATACTGCTTGGGCACTCAGAAAATAAATTTGGTTCTCTTTGACCGACATTAAGGTATTATGATTGCCCCTTAGTCTGAAACCACCGATCTGCCTCAGTCTCTATATTTGCACGCAGGTGAAACTTTACCTCACCTTAAGGAGAGCTAAACGAGATGGTCGCACTCTGAATTCAGGAAGAGGCACCGAATCATACCCAAAAGCAACTTAACCTTTGGAATCGAGGTCCTTAAGGATTTTGAAATGCTTACCTCTTGGAACTGTATTAAGCTTATTTCTTTCAACTGACAATACTTTCAAAGCAGGCAGGAGACGATCAGCTTTCCTGTGTGCAGGCGTAGCTGTGACAAGTGTGAGAGTGCCGATGGCGTTACTGTTGAGGTTTAGAGTTTCTAAAACAAGTAAGTTTCTACAAGTAGTTAAGGAGAGTTCAGAAATCAGATTGTGACTGAGATTCAGGTGTTTTAGCATCCACTCTTCATTTCTTCCATCAGTGCACAGGAAAGTTTTAATATTATTGTAACTGAGATCAGCTATTACCGCTGTTTGTGGTATATCTTCTGGGATAGTAGATATTCCAGCAAAAGAGCAATTCAGTAAGAACTGCCCATCCCACCAGCAGTCTGAAGGGTGAAGTGTATCAAGAAGAATCTGCTGTGACTTGCTTCCCACTGATCCAGGAAGATTAAAGTAAAGGGCCATAGCTATGACACTCAAGTGAAGGTTATCCATAGTATCTGTGTGTAAAATGTAGAATCATGGTAAGTTCAGCATAACAAGAGTTAAATAGAAAGCGGAAATACTTGGACATTAAAGAAAAGTCAGCACTAAACAAATACTCAAAGCATTACCAACCTTCTGCCTGAAACACTTAGTTTTGGAGCCCTAGGTCTGTTTCAAAAAGAACACTCCTTAACTGGTAACCTGCCCCCTCCCTCCACCTCTCCCAAAACCCAGTCCAAACCTTTTCTTTCTTTTCCAACCCTTCAGTCAAGAAATGCAGCTTCTCAGGAGCTTGTGAGCTAATGACAACTGAGACTTTTGAACTCTGCTTCAGGTATCACACACAATCACCACTGAGCAAAGTCCACCAGGTACAATCCATGACGAATAGACGTGGAATGATTTTCATACTTACAGTTAATAAAATGCTAGTTTCCCTGTGAATAATACAACATATAAGTCTAATGAAAAACTATGTTCTTACAAACAACACTTCAGAACCACAGGTGCATCTGAGAATTTATTTATTGTTTCACTTCAAAACAAAGGTTAGAAATTCATCTGTCTTTTGCCTGTTGAAACAACCACCACCTTTACATAAGCTGAGAACTCTTCACATGCAAGTTGTTTCAACATACCCAGTATGGTATTTTACACACAGGCATGTAAGATGTACTTTAAACACACAAAATCTTAAGTGCATCTGTGAGACTCAAATAAATAACGTGCCACACAATGTTTTAAAAACATACAGAAAAATGTACCTTAGGCAGTTAGAAGATAGCAAATAAATGCAGAACACAAGGCACGTGTGGTGCCAACATTTCTCAAACTGTGAAGTCAACAAAATATATTAATGATACATAAATAATGGCTAACAAATCAGTAATTTATTTAATCTGGTATTTGCGTGATGGGTTTTGCTACATTTTGACAAAAAATCCACACTTCCAAACCCATTCTCCAGACCATGATTTAAGAGTACCTTTGCAACAAATCCTTCAGGTATGTTGGGTACCTTGATAATTGCAAGGATCCGATGCTGACATATAGGCATGTCAGTATTAACCAGAGAAGAGCATTAATATGCTCTCTATGTGTAATCTACTTGACTGACGCAAGATGTGTCATTTTCAAAATCTATTACAGCTTTGAGGATACTGCTGCTTATATTTCTGTGTGTTTATATATTTATATATATATATAAAAGTAAAGTGACAAAATTCCATTAGCATGGAGTGAAAATTCTAAAAATGTTACAGTTTATTTCCTCCTCTTAACTGTAAGAGATGCTAATTGAGGCACCACTTGGCAGCAAAGATGTGAACATGTACATGTACGTATCAACTCTAGTAAAATGATAAAGTTCATGAAGGCAGTACGCAAAATGTTAGTACCTCCCCATAATCCTTAACATGAGCAATTTAATGGTTTTTGCTACATTTTACTCTGTTTATTCTGGTGTCCACACCCCAAAACCCCAACAACTACTGAGTATCGACATCTGGCTTTGTCTTTGAGCAATGAGGGAAACAGGACTCCCCTGACCTTCCACATGGTGTAATGCCTGACCGAAGGATCCCCCTCTAAAAATCACTGCCACCCCTAAACATCCTGCATGAGGACTGACTGACTTCAAGTAAATACAGGACTCGGGACCTTAGATATGAGGTTCTTGATGCAGCAGAAGCTGATTTGTATTTAGTGGAACACTATGTACTTTGAGACGCATAAAACAAGTGTAGATAGTTTATCTTCCCATTACAAATGACCAATTCTGAAGCTAATGTGTAACCAAGAGAAGTGTGTGCTTATCTAGAAGAACTTGTCAAAAAGCTACTTGTGAAGTGACCTTTGTGGCCTCCATTATTAAGGTTACTTGATGCTACTGCAAACCCAAACTGTTTTAAACTGAAGAAACACATGGCATGGGGAAAGGAGAAACGTCAGAATGAGCTGGTCAGTTTTCAGTGCAGGACACCTCACCTCTGCCAAAGCAGTTACAAAGCTGTAAAAGTTTCTTTAAGGCCCCAGTTCACCGCAGACACAGTTTTACTGGACAAACTGAGATACCCATGTAGTTACTCTGCTGTCATAGGATCCAATCCCATCACATTTAGAGTTACAGACCTGCAGTTTAACTTAGAATTTAATTCTGAGGATCTCAGTAATGCATCAGGACTGACAGTCATGGGGAAAGAGATCCGATCTCAGACATTGCTGCCATGGTCATGCTTTAGGTTATTACCTGTCAAATAATGGATTCATACAATGCTCACATTAAAGCACCCAGCAAAACACTTTTTTTGGGAAGTGAGGAAGTTATAATTACATCTTTTAAAATGTACTTCTAATATAATCATGTTTTATAAATACTTCACATAAATTAAGCAACCATAGAATGCCTAAACCACACAGACGGGGAGTTCAAGCCACACTTCAATAATTGCAAGACTTTCAAAACTGAAGTTACTTTTCAGCACTCGCTATTACTTTGCAAATATTATTAATACTAGCCTATTTTTTTTCTAACAACATGAGAATTTAGGGCAGAAACAATGCAATATTTTAAAGTGAGTCTGCCATTACCCCTCTCTTAGTACACCTATGGTAAACCACATAATTTTAGAGGAAATCATTATATTAACCTTTGACAAGAAATGAAGGGAAGACAGAAACCTACCACTGCAGCCATCCTAGATGAGTCCACTTTTGACAACAAATCAACATTCCTTTTGCAGTTGTGTTCTCAGCAGGCCTCAGGGTCTTGAGATGTAGAACAAAAGCTTCCTCTAAAGGCAACTGAAGGCAGTCAAGATTGTTGCTAAGATCATATTCTTTAAATATATTCTACTGATCCCAATTCAGGAAGGTGCTTCAGTGTGTGTGTAGGCTGAAAGCTTTACCAAATCAGTGCCACTCCTACGGCTAACAGGATGGTGACATAATACTGCTGAACGTAACAGCCTTTGCTTAAAAATATTATGTAATAAACGTTAGTATAAACTGCTGTAAAAACAGAACTCTGCGAAGGCATGCAATTACTTCATACAAATATATGTAAACACAACAAGAGAAGTCTCCTGGTAGTGGTTTGTGTTTTAGTGCGTGGCTCCACACGGATTGACAGAAGTCTGACACCCCATATTATAACCTGTCACCTGAACCTTGAACAGGGTCCCGTCCGCGCACATGCAGAGCTTGAAACGCAGCCAGTTGCCGTTATTAAACTGTTCCCCATAAGAAGAACTTGGCAGTCGCGATGGGCTGACCATCACAGTTCCGTTCAGGATAATGCTGTTTTCCTGTTAAGAGGGAGAAATTAAAGAAATGGTACTGTAGGTGATCCTGCTCTGGCAGGGAGGCTGGACTAGATGATCTTTTGAGGTCCATTCCAACCCCTGACATTCTGTGATTCTGTAACTTCTAATTTAAACAAGTCAGGACAATTCTGAAAAGGATGATCTGGTTTAACAAAGAAATGTCACCTTTAGTGTGGCTGTCGAAATCAGCAGAACAAAAGAAAGTACATATGACAAGGTTTAATTTTTAACTAAATTTGTGAATGCTCATGAATTTCTCAATTTTCAGTCCTATGAGCAGAGGCTGAGGGAGCTGGGGGTGTTTAACCTGGAGGAGACTCAGGTGGGACCTTATCACTCTCTACAACTACCTGAAGGGAAGTTGTAGCCAGGTGGGGGTCAGGCTTTTCTCCTGGGCAACTAGTGACAGGACAAGAGAACACAGCCTGAAACTCCATCAGGGAAGGTTTATGTACAGAGAGGGTGCTCAGGCACTGGGATGCACTGCCCAGGGCAGTGGTGGAGTCACCGTCCCTGCGGGTGTTAAGGAAAGGCTGGATGTGGCACTTAGTGCCATGGTCTGGCCAGCATGATGGTGTTGAGTCATAGGGGACTTGATGATCTCAGAGGTCTTTTCCAGCCTCAATGATTCTGTGATTCTCAATTACAGTCAGCTGTGTACTTTATTATTCCAGTGGTAGATCAATACTGGGAGAGGCCGCAGCTGTGTGGCTTTTCACTTTACAGACCTATTACCAAATGCAGTCAATCTAAAAACATGGATGTGAAATGGGAATCGTTGTTTGAGTTTAATAAATGAAATTCACTCACACATGAAATAAAAGTGCATGTATCTCTGGTTTTATCCCCCTTTAACCTTTTTCATCATTCCATGTGCCCTGCAGTCTCCAAAATTCTTAAATGAATGTTGGTGAGTGCTGCGGCAGCACAGAAGGCAGTGCTCCTAACTGTGTGCTCTGTCCCCTGTCAAAGGCTGCTGACCCCAGCAAAGCCTCCAGAAGAGGAGATCATAGAACCACAGAATTGTTGGTACTTGTTTCAGTGCAGAGGCCAGAAGCTTAGCTTTAATTGCATTGTGGGGTTTTAGCATTTTAACAGTAGCAAATCACTGTCACCTGAAAACTGCTGAACTACTAATTAACAACACAGTAATAAACTACCTGTTAAAATCCTACTAAAGAGACTGAGTGCAACTAAGCTGTTATGTGTGACTACTTGATATAAAATGTGAAATCGTATAAAGCTACATTGGTTTATTGTCTGCCAGAATTTGAAACTAAGCTGTTCAAAAAAGATGCTGATTTGAAATACTTACTGCTTTAAGTTCCATGTTACCCCCCATTCGAAACTCAATGGTCTTTCCTGTGATGAAAACACCTTCATTTCCACGGACAATAGCACGGCCGTCTACCTTTATGTTTAGATCACTGGTCGCATTGCTGGTTATCTAACAACATGAACAAAAAAAGTGTATTACAGATCAATGGAAATGTGTTCACTTGCTTTTGTCTAAGTGACTTTAATTACCTTAAAAATGTTGCTAAACAATTTAATAAAAAACTTCTTAGTGTGATTTGCATTTTCAGAGCAAATCTGAATCTAAATGTACGTTTACCTACGTTTAGTCAAATTTCTAAATACACCTGAAAGATTGCATTAGTAAATTTTTTTTCTTATTCTACAACT